AACCGCTATTCATAGGTGGAGTACTATTGAATGACAAACAGCATCAGCTAAAACTCAATGAATTTTCTGGTCGAGAAAATCAACGCTGGACCTTGATTTACCAAGGCACACGAGATGGCTTTGCCGCCCAAGATTTCCATCGTCAGTGCGATGGAAAAGGTCCAACGGTCACAGTTATTCAATCTAAGGCAGGCGGTTATCTCTTTGGCGCATATACTACCGTATCTTGGAGTTCACAGGGTGGCTGCAAACAAGACTCACAAGCATTTCTTTTTACACTCACCAACCCACACCAACTTCCAATCACAAAATTCACTATTGACGCCGAATACAAACATTACGCAGTATTTCATAACAAGCAATATGGACCGACATTCGGCAGCTTCACACATTTACCACGTCATCCTTCGACTTCCACTTTCTCTTCATTACAATCAGCAAGTAAGTATCGGATTTTATCTGCGCTATCCGATTCATGTTTGAAATAGCGAACGTTAAGTACTACTGCCCTACCATGCAGTTAATATTCATTTCGGAAGTGAATATTCTTAGTAAATATTTGCCGTTAGAACTTGCATATCTCACATTATGTTTAATAGCATTGTTAACTCTCATCATTAGCATTCTTTATCGAATGTATGCATGATTTATTTAGAAGAGTTCCTCATTAGTCTTCGTGAAATATGAAAACGCTGGTAAAACTTTACATATTCTCATTCAACATGAGAGCACTACGTCCATCACTGTCTCCCTCTCGAGTCAAACTTCTTCATCGTCAATCCAACGTTTTTATACGTTACCCCCTGTTACTCATTTTATTTTAATTTATTGTACAACGATGAATCTTGATAGCCTCTTCTTGACTGGAAAACAAGCATATTTATATTCCATGTACCATAAAATATCCCTATCTATACGCTTAGTACTAGAAGTGATCAACAGTTTTATCCCTTACTAGTGTTGCATCTTCCATTTTTATAACACACCACTAATTTGACGCGATCTTTTCTTAGCGAAAAAAAAAAAAATTAAATTTCTTGTGCGCTCATATATGGACTAAAAATAATTGACATTTAAAATATTTAAAGAAAATAGACACAAAAAATTTCGTCATTAATAAGAGAAAAAAATATTAGTACGAGTATGAATGGTGTCTTTTTCCGTACAAAAAAAAAAATTTTTTACTGTCTATTAGAAATCGGGGGTTAATGGGCACTTTTCTCCACTTTGATATAACATTGCAGCAACGTTTGTACGTGCGTTACAAGAACTATCTTTAATTTTTTTGTGCAGTTTTAGATCTATAATCTTTACGTTGACTGGAGGGTAGCTTTAATTTATTAATTGCATCATTGATAACAGATATGACTAAACTAATTCCATACTAAAATGAAGAATGCACAAAAATACAGCTGAAAACCATTTTTGAATTTCGTGTGACTCATAACTCCAAAGCTAAGTATATCAGAGCTTAGGACATTTTTTAGAAGTGTGTGAGACCGAGACTAAGCTTTAAGAAAACATTTCGAAAATAAAGTGTCAAAAGAAACATTGAAAATTACGAAAAAAGTCGCTTGAGGCTTTTAGAAAAGTTTTTACTTCTGTAACCAACGTCATTTTGTCATAAAACTCATTCTTGAGTGCTAGGAAAACTCGTAGACGTTATTATGAAACCGAGACCGGAGTCGAGTATATAAAAACTTTCTTTTCATAGCTCAGTACTTCTAGAACGTCTTTGCCTTGATTTGCACTTTTTTGGAGAAAACTAGAGATGTTTCATCTTTCGTCCGAGAAGCCAGACATTTTCAAAAACATTTTCAGAAAAACAAAGCGATTACATTATACAGGTTGGGAGTCAAACAGAAAGAATATGATGAGTAACTTCCTGATATAAACAAAAGAAATAAACTCATCGTTTAACACATACCGATAGATCATTCGATACAGTAACATCACTAATACAAGCCGTTAAAGCAATAGTTTTTGCTTCTTCACTTGGTTTTGCATTTAATGATGATGCTTGTTGTAGTGCTTCCGTCATGAATACGTTACATATTTTCGATGCAAAATTATTCGTTGTTGATCGTTTTCCTTTTGGAACAACAGATTCGAGTATACACGATTGATCTTTTATGCCACATAAACCAGTTGATTGTCCAATTAAATCTTGACTCGCGTTAAATGCAATATCATTTACAAGTTCTCCACCTGCTTCTCTCTAAAACCCAAAAACCGAAACAAAGTTTAAAAAACAAAAACATGAGAAATACGAGAGAGACGTTACTTTTAATGTGCAGACAAATGAAAATTAGCGATTTCTTACCGATTTGTTTCTGTAGTCTCTAAATCTACTCAGAAAATAATAACTGGGTTTCTAGTTGACTGAATCTTGACAAACAGAGGTGAAGAGGATGGCAAGTAACTTAAACTATTTTCTTGAAACAATAAGATCATTTGCGTGGTGTGTCGTTTACAGTCTGTTTTTCTTCTTCGGCTGAGCATTAGAGATGTGCAGGTATTCGATTTGTAAAGTCTACGCTCACCCTAAGAACAAGCCGTCGTCTATCCTATAAGAGGGTAAAATCAGACTGCTCTATCGTGCATTTTGATTTTTTGTCAAGTTGTGGTCTTATCCTTCAAATTCTAAGCCCTGCACGTCTCTAATGAGAACGGAGTGTCTGTCACTCATAAGAAACTCGCGCTCCTTTCAAGGTTCCACGTCAATATAGAGAAATCCATTCGAAGTACAGAAAAATCTTTCCTACCACCAACAATCTCGTTGATTACTACTCATCTGTGACCTGTTTGTTTAAAACGATGTGACCTATAAAGGTACCTGCTTGTAAGAAAACAGAGCTGAACTTTATCTTTATACAAATCCGACTACACTTATTCTCTTTTTTCAATTGTACACTGTACAATTGAAAAAAAAAATGAATAAGTGTTGTGTTGTTATTGTTACAATAAAATATATAAATTATTATACATATAAAATAAATAAATTGTAACAATTTCGACTCTAAAAAACGCGTTTATGAACGGCGTTTATAAACGCAATCCAAACGCGTTTAAACGGCTTAAAAATAAAACATTTGCACCGTTCAAACGCCTTTTGTTTCGCTTCTATACCAACGCGTTCGAACGCATTTACCTGGCAAGTAACGTTCAAATGTGTTTTGTTCATTAAACGCTTAAAAACGGCCTAGAAATGAAACATTTGAAGCGTTTAAACACGTTTATCAAAACTTCCGAAAAAAAGAGCGTTATGTGTCACTATCGATGTAGCTATGTATATAGTTCATTTCCTTCAAGATATCTCTATCCTTCTCCCTAGAAGTAGCAGAACAATTATTACTTACGAAATGACGATGACTGGCAGATTCAAACATGAGACCTAAAGAATAGAGAGCGAGACACGTACCATTGAGCTATTGGTACTCGTCGAAGATTGATATATCTTTCTGTCAAATTGTGTACTACCCATGAGGGTAATTTTTTGTTGAAAACTTGCGATATATCGAGATATTATGCTAAATGTGCTGAAATATCGCGATAGTGAGCAACTCTGTCGCGATATAAAGGTGAGTGTAGTTTATCGCAGTCTCTCGATAAAACACAGTAGGCAAGACTATCGCAGTATACAAGTCATTTAGCGTTGTAAATATCAGTATGTCAATAAACCGCGATTAATATTTATCGAACTTTATCTTGATAAAAGTACTATCGTTGTATGTGTGATCTTTATCTCCAAAAGCAAAAGTATCGCGATAAACTCCAATAGATTTTTATCGAGTATTATCGTGATAAAAGGGTCATCTCGACAAGAAGCTAAAAGTATCGCGATTAAATTTTTATCCCGATGAATGAGGAGATTAATTTTCCCGTGTTTCGTCTCGATATGAAAGAACATATATGTTCTTTGTGATTGTCCTTGCATGTGCTAAATAAATTGAACTTGAACTTGAACTCATCATCAGCGTAAATCTTCCTGTTTATCGGAGTTTTACTGATGAAATATCATAATTTTTCTTGTGCTTTCAATATATCATACTAGGTCTTTTATTTGGCGTTCAATACTTATGGATTACACTGGTTGTAGTCTTCTATGAAAAGGCCAACATCATCACCTGCTTTTATCTAGCTGTTGGCGTTTGACATTTTCTACTATATGGTAGCGCGTATCGTTGCGTGATAGGCATCCATAAGATAATCTGAGAAAATTCCTCACCATCTATACATTTTTTGTAATATTTTCCTCATAGTACGATCATTTTATGTAACTGTGATACATCTGGTGATGTACAGATATCTTGGAATTCACTAACATTAAGTAATTCTATCAATTTCCATTAAGTTTTCCTTGATTGAGCGTAATTGTGATCAGTACAGTTAAACTGGTTGAAATTCCCAGCTTAGAACCGGAAAATAATTTTCCGAGAAGAAACAATTCAACGAAACAGAATTCATTTTATAGTAAACGAAAGGATTCTTTTAAATGATGACAGGCAAATATATCTTTTTGTAGTTTTGTCAATAGTGTGTTTTCATTTTGTTATAAAAAGGCAAGTCAAAAGGTGTCGGTTCCGAAAAGCAGGAATCGTCTAAGAAACTGCGATTCTGGTTCCATTGTCAGAGCGCGGCTCCGATTCTTGATGAAGAACCGGAAACAAGAGAACAACGGTTTCCGTTCCTCATGAGGAACCGAACCGCGGTTCCGGTTCTTCATGAGAACCAAGAACCGAACATTCCTACTGGCCAACTTGTATTATGTCACTTATAAAAGAAGAGTACTTCATGATGAATAATCTTAATCATAATCAGATATACTAGGAACCTCTTTCAATAGCTTCAGAAGCTATTGCATTTTTTTCTAAATCATCAAATAAATTTTCCATGGTGATCGGACCAGAATACCAATTTCTTAAAACGCACTGTAACAAATTTCTTGCCAATCGTGTTTCTCCTGTCATTAGTACCTTGTCAATACTGATTTTTACCCCAAATAAAAGATCATAGTCTTCTATTTGGCTTTCATATTGCATAATTGATAGTGATCGTCTGTTATGAATATAGGTTTTCATTTTCTTTTTAAATGTTTTTTGACGCAGATTACTTGGGCTATCTATCATGAAAGCAAACGAAAATACTTCTATGGCAACTTTCGGAAATATCAATCTAATTTCGATGGCAAAAACCGGATGTCTCTATCTCTGTTCCGAAGGCGTATAAAAAAAGCTGCAATATATACACAAATAAAGCGAGCATTCCGTATATGTTTGGATTATAATTTATTACATAAAGAGCTAAATTATAAACGTAAAATAACATCAGACAAAATGGATGCCCAAAATTATTTGTCGATGATACGATCAGATTTTAAATAAAGAAAAATTATTCAAAATCGAATAACACTTCAAACACATTACATTGATTTTTTATCATTGTCCGTTACTTTCATGTAGAAAGTGGCTCCTGACGGCTATCTTTGACGGCTAGCGGAAAACATCCCTATTTTTACTAACCGACCGACTGAGTGACTTTACTGCCCACCAAATTTGGTTGGTCTATACCGTGGTTACGCCAATCAAATCTAGCCAGTAAAGTCAGTCAGTCAGTAAAAATAGCCACACCAAAGAAGAAGACGACAACGATTCTTTTCTCTTGAGAATTTGGACAATACAATAATTGGACAATTGAATGCAAATTCAAAACAAATATCAGATAATAAAGATGGACTGCATCTGATTGGTCGAAAGCCATCTGTTGTACTGTAAAAAAAATCACGAGTGATTTTAGAGTGTTAAGCCACGTTCACACGACACATTTTAACTTAGTTTAATCCTAGTCTTTCCAATCTTGACCCATGTGACCGCACTCAGTTTATTAACTTAGTTTAAGAACTTAGTTTGGCAGTTTGCCAACTTGGTTAAGTTAACCAAGTTTATAGAACTCGGTTAAGGACCACCTATTAAACATCGATCAATCAGTGATTAGCTACATCTTCTACACATGCGTTATAGTCAAATAACTTATATACATATGCAGTTTGAAGCGCATTTGTAGCTCATTTAGTGTCCCGCAAATTATTCGAGAAGGTAATTTGCAGTATTTTCACATTGGTCAATCCCCAGGAGCGTCTGAACGGTGTCATTTCGAACTTAGGATTTGGATTAAACTAAGTTGAAAAGTGTCGTGTGAATGTGGCTTTAGCTTCTCATGACCGCAACCACTTTGAATCTGCTCCACATTTTTCTATTGGCAGACATCTTTCAATTAATACTGAAGTTATCATCTCATGGTTAAATTATCAAGAAATTCCAATCTGTTCATCGGTTCGTTCGTTAGAAGTGTTATCAATAACTCTTCCTGATCTATTCGTTAGTCAAGGATGCTCAAAAAGCACAGGTATCTTTGACAATGATCACCAGTGAGTTGAAATCGTATATGGAAGACAATTTTCCCAAATGGATAGTACAAATTCTCTTTGATCATTTGAATTATGTACTTCCAAAAGTGTGACAGAATTACTCTCTCTGTATGATGAGATACCAGATGATTTGAAAGTCAAGATGTTTAATCAACAAGGAAAGTTGAAACCAAGAGTAGTCGCGAGACAATTCAAGTTGTGTACGATCAATGAGCCATATTCACATCCTGGTGACGGCGCTATGTGTTGGCCGTCAAACGGCTTGAAAGCTGGCCGTATGATTGCATGTATTGTATAGACAGAACGCAAGAAAACAGTGTCTCTATGTAGCGACCTCATCAGGATGTGAATATGTCTCATTAAACAATATCAATAAGAAGCCGTTGTCGAGAAAAAGGGGAAGGAATGATTACAGTATGTTAACAAAGTTTGTGTGTTGCATTAAGTATATTGTCTTTTGTTTCGTTTCTCTAGGTGCAAGTGAATCGAGTTCGGCCACTACACTTCAACATTCAGAAGCAATTAGAAGTAATGGTAAAAAGCGAGCTGTAAGTAACGCACACTGTTTTCTTAATTTGTTCTAGTTTTACTTTATGCCTTGTTTTGTATCTGCCTCGTGAAATATCTGTTCGCAAGAGTAACCGAGGTACGATACAATTTTTGCCTCGTAATACATTGTATAACACCAATTTGTTTTCCAGGTGATTTGTCGTTCTCATCGGTCGATTATGAATACCCTGTGCACTTTAAATTTGATTTCAAGGAAAAAATGAATCATCAAAAAGATGTGGTTGAATATGAACAGACAACAAAAATGCGAATTGACCATTTTCTAGCAAAATATTTTGGTATAGAAGAAGGTAAGAATAGATTTCTTATCCGCATCTGTTTTCTACAAACTAATGTATCGCTTGGGTCTCATCTCAGACTTTAAATGAAATGTCATATTTTAGCAGTACCTCTTAGGCAGCTGAGAAAAATGTAATTGACATTTTTTTATACAAGTGATGTTTATTTCTGTTTCTAAGCTGTCCGTACACGACTAATAGATGGGCTAATAGAAGGTATTGAATGCTGCATCGCTGCAATGATGAGACGAATCTTGAAACTAGAAGATGAATTTTTACACGGCTGAGAACGAGACACAATTTAATAGACAAAGATGTGAAAAGAAAATTTCTGATCGGGAATCGGTCGTGTAAGAATTCCTCTTGTAGTTTCATCTAAAAGTCTTGTTTCACATTCATGAGTTATACTTTACTAGCGGCGAATAGAAATAAGCTCAGAAAATAGTGCATATGATCTCTTTGAAGGGTCACTCTAATTCAGAAAAAAGCAGTTGGTATCTGTTTGATAATGAGATGTTGTATGAGTGACTCGCATCCAGTTTTTTACTGTTCGAAGGAGTCTAAATTTTTGCGTTAGATACTTTTCATTATTTAAAATGTTTTTTGGTAGAAACAGATAGATATTCGGAATCATCATAACCAGTGTGTATCCGGGCGCCACAGCATTAAGACTTCGAGTTCTCATATCTGAATCGGAAGACAGATTGTAATGCAGTCTGATTTAACCATGATAAAATTACATAGTTTATTCAGATTTTGAGAGCGAGCTAATGGTTGGCTAGTGCATTCAGTTGTTCTATGCCCATTAAAATCATTGCTCAAGTCCAATTTCTGAAATCATCTGTCACCTTGACGACATAATTAGATTAACTAATGAGCATCTGTTTCTAGCTTTTACAACTCGATATTCGGAATCACCATATATATAGAGTACTCTTGGGGAATCTACCAGAAAGTGGTTTTGCGGTCCAAAAATGATTTTCCTTAGCAGAACTACCTTACAATATTGTGTTGCTTTGGCGCAGCGGTTATACCAACTTGCTTTAGCTTGTGAAAACATAACCTCAGATCTTGGCTAGCGAATGATGACAACCGCAGGTCTCTATCTTTTATTCCTCTTGAGTTATCGATTTTAAAATTAGATATTTGTCTAGGCAGACTTGAAATCAACATACGCAAGCATCTCGATTTTAAATTTTCTTAGACAGATCTCTGATCAGAGAGTCTAGATAAACTTAAAATCTGCCTGAATTTGACAAATGCCTGTAACATATTCCTTCCTTCTTTTCTAGTGTGTGTTCTGCTACTCGGTCTTTTCAAAAGTAACGAAGTGAACAAGATGTATCACTAAAGCGAAAATATTTAGTCAGTGATACACCGTCCTCTCGACGTTGGCAGCAGAATAAAATTGACATAAGAATATTTCTTTTTCTTTTCTCCTCCCTTCGCGTTTGGTATGTAAGGAACAAGTAAAATATTAATTTTCTGTATTTCAGTTTTGTCATCCGTAAAAAAGAAGGAAGAAATATGTATATGTTTAACTCATTTTGTTTTTACTGCAATATAATATTTTGTACAAAATAAAATGCTTGTCAATAACCGTATAAATCGAAAAATTGTATATTTTAATATTTTAATTTTTCTAATTTTAATAGACTTTTAACAATAAACAAAAATAAGAGGAGCTACAATTATTTTGAAATTTTTATTTCTTATATTATCTTTAATATATATATAATGCTATGCTAGTGGAAACGTGATATAATGCTTGTTGAGAGAAAATGCTGTATAAATGTCGGTGATAAAACTAAAAAACAATGTAAAATTAAAAAATCAGTAATTTCTATGTCACTCTTCCCTAATGTCTACACCCAAGCAAAAGAAAAAATCGATAAGCTAGCTCAGCTTAGGTAAGGCGGTACATTTAGCTAGCTCAAGCTAGCTAAATGTACCGCCGAATTCACTTTATTTTAACTATGAAATGGCGATATTGAGCACTTAACAGCTCCACATCAGAAGTCGTACTTCTCGACTGTTCGAAAAAATCCCCGCCGGAGGTAAAGAGCTAATAGTCTAAAACTATAACTATCGAAAAATACAAAGTGAATCTGTGTTTGTCAGCACACTCATCTCGCTTAGCATGGTTATCCTTAGCTATGGCTCGTTATCTGCAAAACGGCTGTGACTTGCACATCAACACAACCATCTCATCATTGAACCAACTTGACGATATAACAACCTTGAATATTTAACATTTTAAAAAAAAATTATACTGTGCAACGTCGTGATTACGACCAGAATATTTTTAAAGAAAGATAAAGACCATTTAGCCGAAAAAATAATAACAATATGTTTGTGATTGATCTATGTAGATAGTAGAGCCGTTTGCATTTACTTGTAATAGTGTGCAACTAACATGACCATAATAGCATAAACAAGCAACAGGTAAAGTATAAGCTCATGTTGAACTAGCTGTCGTGAATTATTTATAAAGTACATCTTATATATTTGTTTTTTAGAAGAACAGAAATATTCTCATTTTATACTGAAAGATGAATCGTTTTAAAAAGAATAGAGTTCTATCGTAGACCGTAAATTCTTTATCTCACATACGGCAAGATGCACATATGTCCCACATACAGATTCTGCATGCCACATCAAGAAATTTCACAAGAGCGAATTTACGCTCTACGATAGAACTCCATTGTTCAGATTCATTCATATACAAAGCATCATTTTCTCTTTCTGTTCTTCTTTACTGACTGTGACTATACATTGTCAATTTATAAAGATGACATGTCCACGACCAGTGGAAACTTTTTTAAAAAATATTAACTTCAAATTTTATTTATATAATTGCAAGTTGGTCATTTTGTGTATGACTAAATACATACTCAGTAGAAATATTTCTACATGAATATATATGATCTTAGGTAATAACATAAACTCGGTTCTCTATATGCTGAAAATTGTTTGTCTTCGGACATGCTACATGCTTTTGCAGAGCAAGAAATTTTAAAAATCTAACAGTAATGTCACAGTGTGGAATATGCAAAAATCCTTCGACTCCTCATCCTAATCGGAACCTGTGATTCGAGAGCGATCCTTTAAGAAATCAAAATTGTTTTCAAGTCATAACTAAAATAAATTTGGTTTAGATTTGTCGAATAACATACTAGTTGGCTCTACTTACAATCATATTGATCTATAAGAGCATCATGCTTTTAAAGAAATTATTTGGCCATGATGAAACGTATGATAAAAGTACTGACGAAGCACGGTTACATGCACTCGGTTATAAACAAGAATTGAAACGTAGCTTATCTACAGTTACGAATTATGGTGTCTCCTTGTCGATTATTAGTATTAGTTCGGGCATTACGTCACTATTTGGATATGGAATGATTACAGGTAAAATATACCGATTAGCTGACTTGCCGCTTATGTTATGTTCTGATATTACTAAACAATTTCTTCATTTTCAACATTTTTGACCTTTCTCCACTGCTAGTACACAAAAGTAATCAATCAAATTTTTTTCGCCCTAGAGGAAACGTCAAAATCTTATTAAAAAGCACTATAGGTTTTTAATGAGTGTTTTTCCAAAGTAGATCAAAGAACTATACCTACATTTTGATTTCTTTTTGAATGTGTTGCTGATTAAGCTTCAAGGAATGCTTATAATTATCGGCATTGTTCATCATTATTAAGGATGTGCTGTAACGTAATACCCATTTTTTTCTAGTTACTTATAGCCCGTAGTCATTATCAAGCGAAGGAATTAATCTTAAACTAGTCAAAACTGATAAGTGGTTACTCTAAAATTTTTGTTTATCTCTCAGAGTGATTTCAATTGTCCGTAAAGAATTCTTAACAACTAATTTTCTCTTAAACACGTATCCCTCCTATTCCACTCTTTAATTAAACATAATGTAGAACGCTTTACAATGGCACTCTGTTTATCAGAGAAAAAACATACACTTTAATAGAACTGGTGTTAGAAATATTTTTAAAACCAAACTTTTTTCACTGGAATATCAGTCATATTAGAACTGATTTGATCTCACCTAGTTTCACTTAGAAGTCTCTTGTGTCTATTTAGGTGGACCCGTTGTGATGGTGTGGGGCTGGTTGATCGTCTCAATATTCACACTAATAGTGGGAGCAGCTATGGCAGAAATATGTTCTGCTAATCCGACGAGTGGTGGTTTATATTTTTGGACAGCGATACTTGTACCAGAGAGTTATAAACCATTTGCCAGTTGGATTACAGGATGGTTCAATTTAATTGGTCAATTTGCTGTCACTGCAGTGAGTATCATTTCCTTCTCACAGTAAATTTTTTGATCTATTATCATCTCTTTATCTTCAATTTTCCATTAACGATGGTTACGCTATGTAAATATTTTAGGCTATCGACTTTGGCTTATCTCTCTTGATTGGTTCCGTCATTTCTGTTGGGTCAAATAATAAAATATTACCGAAACCGAGGCTTATTATCTTGATTCATTTGATTGTTATACTCAGTCATGGTGTATCGAATTCATTAGGACCCCGTTCTTTACGGTATATCACATATATCTCGACATGGTGGCAGGTATTTGCACCGCTTATTGTCACTCTAGCGTTGTTTATTGGACCAAAATATCGACAACCAGGCACATTCATCTTTACACATTTCGTAAATCAAACTGGTTGGTCAAATACGTACGCCATACTCATCGGCTTATTGCAAGCTCAGTATACGATTTCTGGTTTCGATGCATCAGCTCATATGACCGAAGAGACGAAACGGGCTGATACAGCTGGATCACATGGAATGCTACTTGCTATTGCTGTTAGTGGTGTTACTGGCTGGCTGTTTCTGATTGCCCTTTGTATGGGCATCAAAGATTATGGTGCTACGGTAAATACGATCACCGAATTTCCCGTAACGCAAATTCTATTAGATAATTTTGGTACACCATTGGGACTGTTTTTTATTGTCATTCTACTGGTAGCATGTTGGTTTTGTGGGCTGTCATCTGTGACGGCCAACTCTCGAATGATCTATGCATTTAGTCGAGATCATGCTATGCCGGGATCAAGATACTGGCATCGCATCAATCGGCGAGTAATGTGTCCATTGAATGCCGTATGGTTATCCTGTTTTATAGCATTCATTATCGCCTTACCGTATTTACGTAATACAACAGCATACAGTGCGGTAACAAGTTTGAGCACAATTTGCCTCTATATATCGTATGTAGTGCCCATATTCTGGAAATTATTATTCCCAAAATATTTTCATCCAGGACCGTTCAATTTGGGTAAATGGTCAACTCTCATCGATATTATTGCCGTTATTTGGGTTGCATTTATCGTCGTTTTATTCGTTCTACCACCTTTATATCCAGTGACAAGTACGAACATGAACTATGCATGCGTTGGAGTTGGAGCAGTTATTTTAGGTAGTGGACTGGGCTATTTACTTGATGCTCGGAAATGGTTTCAAGGACCAATGACTAATATAGCTGATGACGCTACAATAAAAACGGAGTATTCTGTACCCATATCTGCAGACCAAATTCTGCCAGTGTCAGATTTTGGAGCGGAGGTTATAACAAAGTTTTGAGTATGTTAGTGTCGAGTAATTTTTGTATATTTTTTGTAAAATTTTTTTTTCTATTTTGGTACATATCATTTGGTGTTACTAATAAGTTTTGAGAATAGTAAAGGAAGTTAAACTGAATGTCGGAAAACGCTGGATATTGGTTACATTTAATAGATAAGAAAATGAGTTTATATTTTTATATTTTATCCTTGCAATACGCCGCTTCCGCGAACTAAAATCATATTTTAAGTATTCCCGTTTATCTAAAGCAGAAAAGTTTTCATAATATCTGTTGATCACAGTGGTAAGTGGCAAGGTCGGTGAATCCTTTATCCATCATGAAATCACTAACCTTTGTAAAAACGTATAGTAGCTACTGATGTCAACTTTTTTTTCTTCTGTACTTTGCTCACTTAGAGTCCGATTATTTCTCATTGTGCCGATTCATTCTTAATTTTTTTCAACTGCGTTTTAAAAGCTCAAATTGATACTTTAAAACGGTAATTACACTAGAAATTAAGTTGAAAATACGGGCTACAGAAAAAATAAAAATAAACTCAACGGATCTTGCGTCAACGTGTAACTTTGAACGGTATTGCTGCCTCTAGTTAGTTCCTTCGAGCGAAACAGCGATACAGTTTTATTAAGGAATGATTGTTATCAATCATAAAATAATTGCGCCGGACAAAGGTATGAAGAAAAAAATCTGAAATAAAAAAATATGTAATCAGATCAAAACGTTTTTCTGTCAAGGAGCATCTACACTTCTTATATGTGATTCTCGAAAGTTTTGAACTTATAGAGGACATCGAGTTATATCTACAGTGAAAGTTTTCGGACGAAATGTTGATTTTTTGCTGACCTACCGAAAAAAATTATTAATTAAAAGTGATTAAAATATACATGGCAGCCTCGTTTATAAAAAACGTTCCTGTACTTTATGTGAGCATGAGAACAACGCCATTTTAGTTCGATTTTGTAGAGACTTATCAACTGTTTATAATAAGCTTTAAAAAATTTTTGTAACAGGATCGATTTTTAAGTAAAGCATTTTGAAAACGTGCTTTTATATTTTAGGCATAAAACTGATGTTTTAAAAACCTTGTCAACGATTACGTAATAACAAGAAAGTTTCAAGAAAAGCTTTTGGTGGCAAGGCTGTAGCCTATATCCTTCTACATGGAATAAGCGTAAAGGATCGCTTTTTTTTAAATCATTTCGATATTTATTAAATTAAAATTTAAAACTATAAATTCGAAACGTTTTAATGAATAACTTTTTTTGAAATTTTTGCTATTAGAAAACAAAAATCATTCCGCGCCTTGGCCAAATGTTACAAAATTTCATTTTTTTGTTCTTCTGTACCCCGTATCTCCGCAAAGAAGCAACTTTTATCAATGAAATTTATACCAATGATGGATATTAGGGAGTTCTACTACCAAAAATAATTTGAGCTTGATTGAACGAGCGGATCAAAACTCATAGTCAAAATAGAGGCCGTTACGGAATTTCAAAAAGTGGAAGTATTTTTCGGCGTATTTCAGTAAAATGTAAATTATTCAGCCTTAAATTAATTTTAAAATGATTGCTTAATCTACTAAATTAAAGCTCACAGTTTGGGCGATCAGAATCACTACTGACTTTTTCTATTTTGAATTAGTTTCCTGGCAGAGGAAATCGAATAAAAGTGACCTTTACGGAATTTCATCCTTTACTGCTCTTTTTTACAGATGGTTGGGTATATATTTTTTGTCACAGAACTACTTTTAAAACAAGCTCTGATTTGCACATAGACAGATAGTCTGAGTTGCCCTTCATCCCATGCAGCCAAAAATGAATTTTCAAAGTTAGATTAAATGGGCATAAAACTGCTCAAAAAACAAGCGCCAAAACTTAGAAAATAAAACAAAAAATTTGGCATCTAAACGTCAAAACAAATGAGACCTTTGGTAGAGAATTTAATTCTCTATCCGATGGTATTGTTTTCAGAATTTTTGGAAAAAATATCTCGGTCAGGAAATTAAATTTAAATTTTCACCACGAAGATTTGACTTTCATTTGTTTTTTGAGTTCAGAATTGTAATCACCGTGAAAAACTGTGTCTAATGATGTATTTTTAAGCTTTACCTTTTTCGTAGTCATAGTCTATGGCAAGATTTTGTTGTGGCTTGTGCCAAAAATTGTAAATTGAGGAAAACTGTTTTTTATCACATTTTCGTACAGGTCTTATGAAGCTGACATTCGGACAAATATAGGACAGTATAATTGAACAGTCTATGAAGCTAAAGCTTATATCTTGATTTCTAGGACGTTTTTAGGGAATTCTTAAATCATGAAAAATCATCTTCTACCGATGATTCACTTTTAGAAACATGTAAAATATGTTTACGTTTCTGTTGACCGAACCTTTTACGCGTGTATGTTTTATACAGTGCATTGATACAAATTATTTCATTATTATCCTTTGTATAAGATTATAATAAACAACTAGCATCTTCAACCGATAAATTCAGTTGACTGAGATGCATGAAAAATAGAATCAGACACAATTATAATCTAAAATAACTCAAAAAGATATCGAGATAGTAAGAGCTTCCAAGATCTCCATAAGTTTTAAATAAAAATTCATTTTAAATAAAAAAAATCTAGCTGAATTATAGCGCTTGAAAAGTTCGATGAGATGATTTATTATTCAAATCTATCATCCATGTATTTTTTTCAGTGCGAGTCTCTGTGCGATTGCTATTATTGTCTGTTTACGTTGTTGTTATCGAAAGAAGATTCGAATTATTTACCACAAACAAGTGAACGTAATCATCCATCATCAAGTAAATTTGCACATTATTACTTCACAACCACAAGAAATATCAGCATATACATAATTTAACATCTATCGAAACTCTTTTAAAATTGCCCTTGTTACAGTCTTCATACCAAAAAAGTTTTTCTTAAAAATTTCTTGTACTAACAAAACAGTTATCATCGTGTTTTTTCCTTTCAATGTATTTTTTTGTTGGTATCTTGTCATCAAATAAATAGCAAACAAAATAGCTTCTCCAAGCTCGCATGTTAGGTTGATTAGAGGAATAGAAAAAACAAACAAACTCATTATTTAAAAGGTAAGTGTAATATATTTATATTTTATTTTTTCGACAATATTTCAACGACAATATTTTGTAAAGATGAGGTAAATACCCTACGATTATATACAAAAATTCTGAGAAATTAATATCTTGAATATTAACTTTTTCTCAAAACAGACTTATGTTGTGCGAAAAATTATCAACAACGTCAAAAGTGAGATGCTATGAGTACTTCTTCGTTCAAAAATGAGTACAAAAACACTTTTGAGTAGCACTGATATGTCCACAGTTGTTTCACACGGGAGCAGACCATATGCGCTTGAAGAAAAATGATTGAAAATGATACTCTTTTTGTAGCATTCTTCTTCGAATTCTGATTCAAGTTCAACTTTCGCTCAATTCAAACATTATCAGAGGGCTGTGTATCATTGTGATAAAAAGGTGTATTAAACGATAAGCGGTGTATTCAACTTAATCCAGTTAAGTGTGAATTCATCACCTTCTCGTCTGTGTACGGTGGTATCAAATATGGATTTTGATACTCCCATGTTTAATTCATAATGGAAACTCGTTAAAAGAATGCAAAGAAATGAAAATACTCAAGAATATTCTTTTATTTGACTTTTCATGGACGGTTCATATTGAGGCGGTACCTTCGCGAACGAATGCAATTGTAAGATGATGGAATATCCAAAATGGGTGTTGAGACAATGAGGATAAACTGAGTATGGCGGATGTGATCCTGTCAAACAGATTAGGATGCTATGAATGGAACATTTCGTGGCATCGGCATTCCTGAACCATATTTGTACTTGTCGATATACAGAAATCAATATGTTGAGTATAAACTTTCTAGTACAATCGTTAGTCTCAACCTCAGAACAGGCTTATGCTCACCAGATAAATTGTGTTCAGATTACGTTGAAAAAATAAAATATAAATATATTACACTTACTGTTTAAACAATGAGTTTGTTCGTTTTTTCTATTCTTTTCATCAACGTAAAATGAGAGCTTGGAAAATATAGAATTATTTCAACTATTCAATTCAAAAGAAAAAAAAAGTATCACCTGTACTTTTATTTGAGCGGCTGGCTACTCAGAAAAGTAGCAAAAATTATCTTTTCTATGTATTATTTTATGTAATGTAATGAGCGAATCATGGCACAAAAAGGGAAAACATTTTGCTCCGTTTTTGAATTCTCGTCACCATTGAAAGCTACTTGATGTACAATTTTATCCTTTGCTCTTAATGGTTAACAGATTAAACCCAACGTATCAATTTGTTTTAAACACAAATGTTTCCCCGGTTTTTTGTCACGATTGCGTAGATCTCATCGCGTTACACAGAAATGATATTTTTTGTTACGGTTTTGAGTTGCCGTCATCTGAAATAAAAGCGCAGGTAATATTTCTTTTTTCTTTTCAACCGAGTAGTTGAAATAGTTCTTGTATCGTTGGAATGGTTCTGCCTTTTCCAAGCTCTCGTGCTGCATTGATTATAAAAACAGAACAAATACACAAACTCATTATTTAAACGGTAAGTGTAATATATTTATATTTTATTTTTTCAACGTAATCTGAACACAATTTATCTGGTGAGCATAAGCCTGTTCTGAGGTTGAGACTAACGATTGTACTAGAAAGTTTACACTCAACATATTGATTTCTCAGAATTTTTGTGTATATATAAGTACAAGTTTTTCTTATCAAATACTTTTTGTTCAACAACAAAAATTACACAGAGTTGATGTTGTTTAATCTTTTACTATTGAAACTCGGCTGCACGATACTAGCGTTGAGTCCGAAATGCTGATAACTGGTTATCAAATACCGTGCAGAAAACATTGAAGAAGTCGGAAAAGAGATAGAGTTTTACTTTATATTCTTGATAACGTGCTATGCTTACGTTTATCTGCATAAGATCGTACTTCAGCAGTACTCATTTAGTACCACATGTAGTGTTAACAAGTGCAAAACTCATTAGTTTCTGTCTAAATCGTATAGTTTGAAACTGCAAGACGCATCAAATAAGAAGACTTTCCCTCAAAAACATTATGTGTTTGACACATGTAGAGATCAATGTATTCTACAAAAATCCTTACTCTTAAGTTTGCGTGAGGCTCTGGTTTTTACGTTTGCTGATGCTCTGATTCGTACATCTGGTGAAGAATTGTGTCTGTCAATAATTGGCGTCGGTGTGGCTTGTAAATGAGTTTTCTCATAAAATTTGATAAACATGTCATCTTTCTCATTTAGTGGTAGTTTCATGTATATTGGATACTTATTTATCAATTCAACGAAACTTTGATTATGTAATTCTAGCGCTTTTACTATTTCCGCAGATGTTGGACGCTGTTTGGGGTCAATGTGAATACAACGACTAATAAGATCCCAAAATATTGGACTTCGCGTTTTAATTACGATTTCTCGCTGTTGATATTCATGCATAGTTTCGGAAAATAGATAGTTCATTGTTAAACCAAATGTAAATATGTCCAATTTTTGGTCATATATTCCTGAATAAAATTCGCGTGGCATGAATGATTCTGGACCAACTATCGTATGCCTTGAATCTTCACTCAGCACACGAGCAATACCCATATCTCCTATTTTAGCCGTATAGTCATCTGCGACAAGAATATTATCTGGACGAATATCTCGATGGATCATGTCATGTTCATGTATTTTTCTGATACCATTTGCCACATTACACGCCATGTGTAATTTTCGACGCAGTGATATCTTATCGCCTTCAGTGATCACTGTTCTCAAACTTCCTTTTGCCATATATTCCATGATGAGCATATATTTCTCTCCTTTACCGTGGACTGCTTGTTGATGAACATAACCATAGATTTTTAAAATATAAGCACCTGATAGTTCCGTATATGCAGCAAGTTCTTTGAAAAAACTTCGTTTCCGTTCCGAAAACTGTGTGGACGATGGTATCGTAATAACTTTACAGGCTACAGTACGCTTACTGGATAGCCATCTTCCCTTGAATACGCATCCTGAAATTGGTAGAAAGCAGAACAGGACTTTGACTGACTATTAATATGCATACTTTTTGCGATGAAGAGCGAATTAGACTACACAAAAGTATATGATCAGATCGTACTCCGTAGCGATTCAGGCATGTATTTTCTTTTCTGATGTTTGTCTTCCGATTAACTGTTCATCGCGAAATGTACATGAATAGAAATTCTGAGTATTATGTTCAGTACTGCCAGCTGAAACTCAGATTGTGCTATCTGTCTCACTCCGTTAATTGTTAAGGTCGACTGCTGCCAGTTAACGTTTTTCGCGCAATAGTTTGACATTGTGAACATTTCTCTACAGTTTGATGAAAATCGAAGATTTTGTGAACGAGAGAGATTTTTGAGAAGGAAAAATATAAAGGTTTAACTAGCTATTGCTTGTTGAGCAAATGAGGCCTATTATTATATCATACCGAAAGCACCGTGCCCAAGTTCCTCTCCAAGCTCGATATCATCTTTGCTTATTTCTGGTATTTGTTGTTTTTCAATCAGAATTACTGGATGGTATAGTTTGTGTTGTTTTGTTGTAATACGATTATGTACACATTGTTCGCATAAATCGTAATCAGGACAAATATCACATTTGAAGCGTAAACCAGTTATTGAACTTGTTAAGCATCCCTCACATGGCACAGTTTCATGTATTTGATCGCGAAAGGCATATTTTAAGTTCTCTAATGTTACTTCGCTATCATTTTTGAATCGACCACCGAATAGTTCATCAGGACATTTGTAATGCACTACAGCATGTCCACTTGTGTGTGTTTTTGTCTGTTTTCGTTGTTCAAAGCAATAAGCACACAAATCATAACTAGAACATTCTAAACACTTATATCGATCACATTTAAATTCAGATGATCCACATCCCTCACATGTCACGTTGTGCACTTTGCTATCGTTAACAGGAAAGTTTCGTATAACTCTTAGCACTGTATTCATGACTTCATCTATGTTTTCATCATTAATCTCTTAATAAAAATTATCTAATGTTTGTACACACATAATCGAAAGACAATTGATTACCTTTATCTTTCACAAATGGGTTTTGGACACGGTTTGAAGAAATGGGTACTGATGCAGTTGGTGTTATTACATAACTATCTTGATTAGTGACTATGTAACAAGAAACAGGTTATTCTTGTTCATACTATATCTGGGTAATACATACGATTAGTCAGTGGTGTCTCAGCTTCATTCGGGTTTTTCTTTAGTCCATTCGAAGCGCCAGTCCCATGTCTATTACTTTCGAAGAGCTGTGGATTACCCTTTTGCACTGCTCTTGAAAACAAAGATGGTATCTTATTATATTGTAGAATCCTACAGTCCTCTTCAGATCCTAAAAAATCACCAAGTTAGTCGTTTTCATTCAGCCACTTTGTGCAACGCACCTTTTGCCATGACCATTCCTCTTTTTTTTAATCCGTCCACGTCAAAATCGTATACTTCGTTTAAATTAATTTGTTTTGTTTTGGTAATAACGAAATCTGTTGGTACAATATCGGCGCCACTATAATCTTCCCAGCGTACGAGGCAATATTCAAGCTTTGTGCTTTCTAAATAACCTATTTTCGACAAGCAGTACTTTACAAAGTTGCGCATGCTCGAACACAAGTGATCACTTACCATCATGCGAAATGTTAATCTTTCGTAATTTTTCCCTTCCACCCATTTTGTGTTTTAACTTAAACCTCAATTGATTGCAGATAATCGATAAGAAACTTCATTAAACTTGTGAAACAGATAATTTTACACCTTGGATTTGATACCTACACCTTGGATTTGTCCATTTAAGAAAAAAATATTCTAAGGAAAATGTACATTTATTTTTGTTACAAGAGTACGTATTAAAAATCACGTGTAGTGGTGAGCGTTGAAGAAGAAAAAAATATTATCGTTGTTTCAGACGGTGTATGATGAAAAAGAAAGAATAATTTTGTTCTTTTCTTCTCTTCCGTCTTAGTAACATACTGTAAAATACATAAGAGTTTATCTTGTGCATTTAAATGAAATACTGAGGTAAATTTGCCTCTGGTTATAGACAAGCAAAAGAGAAAGAACAAATTTAAGTTAATTTTTATTAGCAGTCATCAGAATGAATCGATACATCTAAGACATTCTACAAGGGATTATAAAAAACGTTTTGCTAGAAATCATACTTTTCTTAACAAAAGTACTCTCCAAAACGCGAGAAAGAGATGACAAAAATTAAAGGAGTTATCGAAAAAATATTACAAAAGTTTTATTTATTAACTGGGTTTTGAACTGCTAAGTGCTGAGGAGTATGTAGAATGCAGACTGACGTAAGACCTAGATAAACAGTAGTGGCGTAGCCTCCGGGAGAGCTTGGGGCAACCGAGCTCTCTCTAGAAATTTTCAAGCTCCTCCTAAGAAATTTTAGCTCTATTTGAAAGCTTTCAGAAAAATATCTTGTAGTACTGTAGGCAGGTTTCGAACAATAAATATGGAGCTCAGCTCACCCTAGACCGAAATCCTGGCTCCGCCACTATTAAACACATGTACGGTATGGACAGAGAGGAGTTTGAGGAACTGGTAAAGTCAAAGGGCTTGCATTAAAACAAACTACACCAAACTCTGCAAGCCCTAATCTTACTCAGAATTTTAGAAAGCTTTTAGAGCAGCATAACGCGTGGTAAACGCATACTGATACTTCGAGTTCATGAATTAAATGCTTTGTATAACCATCAAGGTGGAATCTAACGATTTATTTAACAGCACTAATTTCATTTAAGCTAGTGTTGGCGTTATGTCATTTCATTTTCTAACATTTTGGTTTAAACCGTCCTGCTCTACGCGCTGTTTGTTACTATTGATTATATTAGTTTTACAATCTCAAACGTTGATTTGTTTTTCTGTGTATTTTTTCCCTTTCTATGTATTTTTTTGTTGCTATCGTGTCATCAAATAAATAGGAAACAAAATAGCTTCTCCAAGCTCGCGTGTTACGTTGATTAGAGGAATAGAAAAAACGAACAGACTCATTATTTAAAAGGTAAGTGTAATATATTTATATTTTATTTTTTCGACAATATTCTAACAGTAAGAATTTTAACTATAATATTTTGTAAAACTTTTTCTTGAAAGTTTTTTATTATAACAAAGTAGTTGAGTTACATTTCTTTTTATAGACTTATAAAGATTTGATACGCGGAAAGAAATAACCGACAAAAGATAAAGAATGTTAGAAAGACTAAGAAAGTTTTTATAAAAATATGAAAAAGTATTAAAATACTTTAGAATAAAACACGTTATTGAAAAAATATTACAAAAGCTATATTTTTTAATCGCGACTTTGGAGAAAAAAGCGATTTAAATTTCATTTCTTCTTTTTAATCTCGATTTGCTATTGAAAAAACGAAAGGTTTTTAATGTGCTCGTGACTTTCTTTGTTTCTAAATTCACTTTCTGCCGGATCCGTCTAACTTCATCGATTTAAAAAACAATTTTTAAACGTCTTCGATAAGGTATTGTTTTATGAATGCTAATAATAGACGAAAAAACGCAGTTTTCTTCATTTAAAAAAAATAGTTTTATTTTTAACACTTTTATCATGAAAAGCTCATTGATCAAACGTATAAGCCTCGAAACGCAAAGTGTTCCTTACTGTTTACAATGTTTGCTAGGAGCTTTCTCCGACGTGGATGTACCAGGTAGACGTGGTACAATTCACATTCAATTCAGAGAATTGAAAACTGTTTCGACAATTCACCATTCATTTGGTAAGTCTAGAAATAGTTATGATGTAGAACATTTGGTATAAGTTAGATTTGAATGGCTATCACAGAACTGAAAAGTAGCAATTAAAGGCAATGCTATGTTCTATCTCAAACCTGTATGACTATTGTCAATAGAAATATTCAATTCTAGGCTGGCAATAATGGAATCGTCCATTTAAGTGCATTCCTCATCTAAACTACAAAAAAAGTTTCGACTGATGACAACGATCGTAGATATTGCTTATGATCAAATAAAATTCATGACTGATTACCTTCTCGTGCCAACTTTCAGCCTTCCAGACTACTTAGTCTAAGACTTTTATTATCTCAATTTCGTGTATTTTATTAGTGAAAAATTCTCTTCAATAACATTCTATTCATTAATGTGAAATGAATGGTGATTTGTTAAAACAACTCCCATTCAAATGGATGGGAGAGGCAAGAGTTTTCCCGTTCATCATGGCTGTAGCATTATTAACGTGAATTTCAGAAACGTTTAAAAATAAACCGATACGTTGAATTTTATCGGATAACCATTAAGAGCAAACTATAAAATCTTACATTAAAAATTCTCTTTAGCAGAAATGTGTTCAACTAGAGCAATCTTTTGACAATATTTAGTGAATATACTGTTCTTTCTCTAATTCCAACATATTGGTGATATTGTAATGTCACTATGACAAAGAATTATAACGAAATAGTAGCATATATTGTTCTTCCTTCCCTGTTTTTCGAACGATACTATATATGTTATTTTTAATAAAATGAAATAAATGATGATGCTTTACAAAGATTTAATTTTCAATCTTACTCTTTTATTATTATATGTTGTTGACAAATTTAAGTCGGATTCTATCTATGATCGTGAAAAATTATTACAAAAAATATGTCAGAAAAGTGATTCAGCAGCAACCTATAGTGTGCATCGATTATTTTGTACGCTAGGAAAACACAGTGCAATTGTGATGGGAGCAATTAATCTTGATCATTCGGTATGAAACTATTGTTTAATAATGTAAAACAGAGTAGAAATGATTTTATCGTTTTTTCTAGAAATTATTGGGTGAATTATTTTTTCTATTAGGCATCTCATTACCAAAAACTATGGCACCCATCATACTTCGTTTTGTTGGTACCAATTTACAAGATTGGCTTATCGACGAAGACTTAGTTCGCTTTTATTCACGACGGTTAGGAGTCTGTTATAAATCACTTCGTTCAAATTTTGATCATGTTTATGCACATGTTGATAAACAGATATTTTCATTCTGGATGTCAAAAGTAAAGAGTTATGTTCATTCTAACGCTATCAAAAGCTATTTTCGATCATTGGTCTATGACGATCGATATGTATTTAATGAAATATCGTACCTTTTCAAACAACTATCATGGTCTGAATTGCTTACATGTTCATTGAAGACAGATTTGAAAGAATTTGTTTTACAAAATGTTGATCAAAAATGTTTGCAAAAATGTCAGGAATTATGGATATTGCTAAATCAATCAAAGGTATTGCATGAACAGATACCAAGAAGTATCATGGAAGGTATGTTGTAAGAAAGTGATTTTCTATTTGCATTTATATACAGTACTGTGAAAAAGCATAGAATCAGATATATCATAAAAATTGTTTTCAATGTTTTGGTGCTTCTATCAACTCTGATACATAAGATGAGTACGAATATCTATACACTCAAGTGTGCTCTTGCCAAATATACTATTGAAAATCTTTCAAAATATCGTCTTCATGATAAACATGAAATGTTGAAGAATAAGTCTAATTTTACCTGTGAATAATGATAGAATCACTTCACTCATTTTCTTTCCTGTTCGTTTTAGTCACTTTTATTATTTAATAAAATTATACTGCTCAAAAGCTCATGTGCACAAGCTACGTTTTGAAAGCAGAATATTGGAAAAATCATGCTTATTTAATTTAGTAATGACATTTCAAAGTCTACAGCTGAGAAATACATAAAAATTGAAATAATATCATTTACAACTGTTTTATCGTAATTTCAACTATACCAATGAAAAGAGTATCGAAAACTGAATATAATCAATGAATTTTGACGTTTCACAGCTTTGTAGCATACAGAGTCAGCGAGTTACAGTGCTGACAAAGTTTTCGCTGGCCATGGCATGTAGTGTCTAAAACGCAAGGTCAATTTTGTCAGCACTGTAACTCGCTGAC